AGTTACTAGCTTCCTCTTCTCTAAGCTAATTGCTTTCATCTAGAAAATATACCGAAGGAATATACTCCACGAGGAGTCAAAAGCATATGGTGTCTCTCCCACGCTCACAACTGAACTGCTTGAATTAGAAAGCTTAGTAGGCCTCAGGTTTCTGYTACAGCCCATTCAAAACAAGAAATGCCTTCTGAACACATCCTCTCACTGTTAAGCACAGCCCTACAAGCAGCAAGGCTCAAAATTTTACAAATATCAGTAAAGTGGCATAAATTAGGAACTAAACACCCATTAGTTCCCCTGTTCAAGAAAAAGCTTTATTTCAAAGCCAACATGACCATCTAAAGCATGCATGTGATGCAGCATTGTCAAGGTCTGTGCCCATCAGATTGCTCAAAATGCAAGGTTTTCAAAATACTTGAATGCAAAATAACTTTCAAGAGTTGTRATAATGCACAAGCTTGCTCCTTCCTTGTGCCAGGATCAGCACTGTGCCATTACACTGTCCCTCCTCTTTTGCATTATATGGAAAACTGGTCCAAAAAACACGTCAGCTGGATGCTGAAGGCAAAAGAAGTCCAAAGAGTACCTGACCAGAAAGGTAAATTTCCTCCTGTTCTTTTAAAGTTTTCATTTTATTTGCCTCTAACTCACAGGCAGCAGAGAGAGTCAAGCATCAGCGTGCCTCAGCTTCAAGAGGCATTGCTGTCCCACTGCAGAAGGTTCCACAAGACACCTACATCACCATGCACGACCACATCTTCACCATTTATCCCCCCATGGCTTAGCAGAGTCCAGAGAGCTGGGCAAAGGGAGGCAGGGTAGGGTATCCACTAGTTCAGTGCTTGTGCTGAATATCACCATGAAGTTGTTGCCCAAGTAACAGTTGCAAATGACCACAGGCAAGTGGCAAAACCACTGGGCTAAGAGCCATCAGGATCACCTCAGCTCTTCTGCCCAGATCTGCAGTCTCTGTAAAGCTGCAATTGCCTTTCTGTTACGAGTCTACAAAGMACCTATAAAACACCAACTTGTTCCAAAACTAAGGTTCCTATCAACACAACTAACCATGCATGTAATCCCAATCTTCCGGTCCAGCCTTAGCTATACATAGATTTCCTCTTAAAGATTTTTTGCGGGTTCCCCTTGCTCCACCCCATCTGACACACACATTCACACACACGTGTGCAAAAAAGATGAGACCCATCTGTTAGCCAGGACAGCTGCCTGCAAAACGCTGACAAACCAAACGGAGATAAGTCCCTGTCCTGGTCACAGGAGCAGGTTCGGGAGCAGCAGGCTCCAACAACTCCCGGGAAACGGGGATGGCTCGAGCACTGTGAGCCCTAAGCGCGATACCGGCATTCTCGGTAAATTTCAGTCTGTTTTGCAGTTTAACTAAGGAAGAAGAGCACAGCACGGCAGTCCCTTGGGAGCTACCCTGCACATGAAAAGGCCGTCAGGGATACGGCCCACTTTCTCCTTGGCACCTGGGCCTTCGCCTCCAAGACAGCATGTTCCCTGCGTCGCTACACGCACGGCACAGAGAAGATAAGCCAAAAAAAGAAAAAAAAAGGAAAAAAAAAAAAAAAGAAAAAAAGAGTATTATAAGAGTATTATCTCGGGAAAAGGCACGCTGCGTGTTTGCCGAGACCCCAGCCCCCAGCCCCCTCCATCCCTGGCAGATGCCCACTTCCGCGCCCCCACGCTCCGGCAGCGACAAGGCCCTCCCCGCCGGCACCCTGGGAGGGGCGSAGGGGCTGCGGCAGGGCCCCGGCAGCCCGGGCTGGGGGTCAGGCGGGGGCAGGGGGGCGCTCCGGCAGGGACGGGCCGCGGGGGGATGCAGGGGCTGCAGTGGGCCGGGAGCGCGCTGCACCGCACCGCGCCGCCTGCTCCGCGCAAAAATGGACGCACACCGCAGCACCGCCGCAACCCCGGCCCGGCCCGGCCCCGGCCCCGGCACTTACCCAGTTGGCAGCGTCGGGAAGGCCCYGAGCCCCCAGCGCCGCTTTAGATCTGCTGCGCGGGCCCGCCCCACCCGCGCGAGGCGGGGCTCCTGAACAGGCTCCACATTCTACCGCAGCGCGCACGTTTCTCACAGGAGATGCCTGAGTGGAATGGGTGCAGTAATAATTGTATCACAATCACAGAATCATGTTCTTAGGAAGATTAATCCACCAACACTAGAGGTTTATGTCCAAAAAGGAGACGGAGGAGTCCTGTAACTTTACTCGAACAAAGGGAGAAGCCATGGGATATTTTCATGGGGTCTCTCAAATGGCTAGAGGATGCAGACTCCTTTTTATCCTCATTTCCCGGTCGCATTTCCCTCTCTCTTTCCCCACTGGCTGAGGTACTTGAGAGGTACAGACTTCCCAAATCACCTAATACAGACCTCCATCTAATGTGCATTCCCCCGCCCCCTCTTTTTCATTGCTTTTGTCTGTTCTGGTTCCAGGGATTTAGCACTGCCTTGGGTGAGTAACAGTCTGTGTCAACTGGTGTAATTCCTATGGAGTTTCCATTCCAATGGTTCTTCCCATTGCTCCTTTCACCTATCAGTATCTGGCCTTATCTATCAGCAGATCCCACAGTTTGTTTTTAAAGACACACCACTCTCATTCTTCCTTTCAATCCCTCCTCTTCTTATCTTCTCAGTAATTGTCTTTACAAACCTTAGTTACCATTGACTACTACTTCTAGGATTGAATAACTCTTTTCCCATTTCTGGCCCAAACGTAACTGACAATATAAGGGTATGATTATTAAGAAAAACATTCTAATGGTGTAATCTTATCACCTAATCTAATTTTCATGTTGTCTTCTGCACCTCKTGTGGAGAGGGAAGGCACAGAAACCACTTAACGCAAAACAATGGTAGCCAGGGTTAGCCCCCCAGCACCTGGAGACCTGAAAGGAGGGATGCCCACAGAGACTATTTCAGCAGACATGGGTGGGCACATGGGGCTTCCTCTGATGTTGACACCCTGGCTGCTGCTCTGGCCATTCCTGCGGAGTGTCAGTCACGGCCTCCCATCCTTCTCCTCCAGCTGAGATTTCCAAATCTCCAGGGTCTTAAAGACCTTGACCCGAGTGTGATGGGTCCACCTGTGTTCAGCTGTCTTGACCACTGTTTCTGTGGTCAGTAACACTTGGAAAGGTCCACGCCACTTTGCCACCAGTGATGCTTTTTTCCACTCCTTAACTAGGACCCAATCTCCTGGTTGGATGTTGTGAACAGCRAAGTCCAAAGGCAGGGTCTGTGCCAGCTGAGCTTTCTGTCAAAGAGATTTCACAGGARAGAGTGTCCTGGCTACATACTGCTTTAAATATACATCACTTGTTCCTCACCTCACCCCCACTAGACTGAGAATTACAAGGGTAAGGAATACCATACATCAGTTCAAAGGGAGATAATTGAATATCTCCCCTGGGTTTGGCCCTTATTCTTGCCAAAGCCAGTGGCAAAAGCTGTACCCATGGCTTCTTCGTTTCTATCATCAGCTTCAAAAGGTGTTTCTTTATTTCTCCATTAATTCCTTCTACCCAGGCCAAACTCTGGGGGTTGCAGGGGGTGTGGAGGTTTCATTGTATGCTTAAAGCTGTCATGACCCCTTAAAGAATTTTCCCGTAAAGTGAGTTCCCCTACCTGAGTCTATTGCTTTCACAATTCCATATCTTGGAATTATTTGTTCCAAAATACCTTARTAAGCAATCCTGTAGTTGCTGAAGCAGTTGGAAATGCTTCTGGTCACCCTGTTAGCTGTACTATTACCAGAAGATATTTAAACCTTGCCACTCRGGGAGTTTCAGTACAATCTACCTGACATCTTTGGAAGGAAAGCACAGCCCAAAGTATCCCTTCCYTGGCAATTTTCTTTGTAACCCTGTTATTGGCTTTAGAACAAATCAAAAAACCATCAGTAGCTCGCTTTGCTGGAGTAAAAAGACCCACAGCAACATACATTTTGAGGAAGGCTTCTGCCAGTCCTCGAGAACCCTAATGACTCCCTGCATTAAGTTGTTTTAGTATTTATAAGGCTAGAGCTTTTGGTATCCACTGCTTACTATCCCTTGTGAACAAATTATTCCCTCTTTCCTCTGCTCCATTCTTTTTCATTATCTCAAGCTCCTCTGGTGGAAAAGACAATTTTTCCAGCACTGGTGGGGCTACTGGGAGCAAAGGGAGGGTCTTAGGGATTTCTGGCAATAGTGCAGCTCTCTGAGCCTCTTCATCAACCAGTCGATTTCCTATTGCTTCCTCTGAGCACCCTGCCTGGTGTCCCCTAACGTGGATTATTGCCACCCCTTTTGGTAAATTCACCACCTCCAATAGGTGAGAAATTAAGCTCTCATGAGCTGACTTTTTTTTCCCTGCTTGTTAATAATGCAAATTATCACCCAATGCATGTATACACCAAATGCATGTATCACCCCTGTCTCAGTTTTGAGACAAATTGTGGGGGCAAACACTCCCAAATTCCAGCAGCCACTACCTGCACCCAGGCTCTGAACAAAATTACCTGTGAGGAAAGTGAAAAAAAAGGTTAACAAAAAAAATACCCACAAGGCATGGAAAAAGGGAAAAGGAATTGTTAAACCTGGGAAGACAGCTGGTGGATTTTAAAGTCCCTTTTTCCTTGGGCAAAGCTTCCCCCGTCTTGGGAGTCCCAGGGCCAGGAAGAGTCATTCTCATGGCTCCCTGCAGGGTTTCACCGACCTTCCTCCTGGAGTTCGTCTGATTTTCAGAGGAGAAAAACAAGCTGAGGAGTCCAAGGAGAAGAGCAGAATCAGTCCCAGGGAGAAAAAAAAAAACTTCCCACTGCCACAGCTCATAGCAGCAGCTAGCAGGAATGTGAGCAGGGTAACACCCYCACACGCAGCAAAACTCAGTTCACTAGGAAAAAATCCTTGAATGAAGTAAAAAAAACTACAGAAGCCATTTCTGGACATAAAGCAGACARTAGGGAATGCACAGTTACTCCAGGACATTCTACCTCTTATTCCTTAACGTTAGCTTAATGCCCAAATGAATACRTTATAACTCTACATACACACATTTATATATACATATATACAGCTATATACTCAGCTCTATACAGACAATGGCAATGACATTTCAGCAAACAATGGCTCTCAYCCAACATCAGATCTTCCTGCAGTATACAACGGATAGTTCCATCCCTCTGCATTATCTACCATGTGCAAATTGGTCCTTGAGCAAAGACAATCCCATGTATGGGTTTTCCTGTAGTCGAGGCAGAATTAATCCAAACATTTTTTCGTAACAGTCCTCTGACGTACTACAGGGACCTTGTCTCCATCTACCATTTGCGGGGCTCAGACTGGGCAGGGCCTGCTCAATTTGTGRAACCTCGGGTATTGACTAACCAGGTGGCCTTTGCTAGATGCAGTTCCCAATTTTTTGAAGATTCCCCACCCAGTGCCCRCAGGGTGGTTTTTAACAATCCATTATACCATTTCACTTTGCCAGCAGCAGGTGCATGGTAGGGAATATGGTACACCCACTCGATACTATGTTCCCTAGCCCAGGTGTTTATAAGGTTGTTCTTGAAATGGGTCCTATTGTCGGACTCAATTCTCTCTGGGGTACCATGACTCCAAAGCACTTGCTTTTCAAGGCCCAGGATGGTGCTACGGGCAGTGGTGTGAGACACAGGCTAGATCTCCAACCATCCAGTGGTGGCTTCTACCACTGTGAGTACATAGCACTTGCCATGATGGGTCTGGGGCAGTGTGATGTAATCAACCTGCCAGGTGTCACCGTACTTGTACTTGTCCCACCTTCCCCCATACCACAGGGGTTTCACCCYCTTGGCCTGCTTGATGGCTGCACAGTTCTCACAGGTTCTTCCCAGGATAAGCTGGGAAATGCTGTCCATGGTTACATCAACCCCTTGGTCTTGTGCCCACTTATATGTGGCATCTCTGCCCTGGTGGCCTGAGACATCATGGGTCCATCRGGCTCGAAACAACTCCCCTTTGCATTGCCAATCAAGGTCTATCTGTGTGACCTCTGTCTTTGCAGCCTGATCTACYTGCTTGTTGTTTCAGTGCTCCTCATYAGCTCTAATCTTGGGGACATGAGCAGACTGTCACAAGTAGTTTTTCTGCCCGGGTAGCGATGTCTTTCCATTCTTCAGCAGCCCAGACTGGTTTTCCCTATAGTGCCAATTGGCCTCTTTCCACTTTTTCAGGAAATTCCACAGAGCATTGGCTATCATCCATGAATCAGAGGTAGAGGTAGAGCTTTGGCCACGTCTCTCTTTCAGCAATGTCCAGGGCCAACCAAATGGCTTTGAGTTCAGCAAGTTGGCTTCATCAAACTTCTCCTTCAGTGGCTTCTGTGTCCTGTCATGTGGGGCTCCATAATAGCTGCCTTCCACTTTCGGTTCATCCCTGCAACACAACAGGAACAGTCAGTGAAAAGAGCATAGCATTTTCTTTCTGCTGGYAGTTGGTTGTACAGTGGAGCTTCCTCAGCAAGCATCTTCTTTTTGCTGGAATAAAACTCTGTATCCAAAAATCATTTRTTGCACCWTAATCCTTCCTTGCTCTTTAATTAAGCAGCTGGTCAGCCTTTCCTAGGTCATTTTAATCTGTGGAACCCAGGAGCAGCATTATTCCATGTTCTCTTCTATCCTGGACCTCATTTTGTTTCTTTTGAACCTGCTTTTTGTTAGCCTTCTTTTTCTTGCACTGGAGAAGACGGTGAACAATTCATGCCTGCTTCCATCTCTGTGTTTTGCAGGCTTTTATACATCTTTATGAAACAGATATTTAACAATATAATATATATTTATGTTTAATATATATATACAGATTTAAGAACTTTGTTTCTAGTCTGGGAAGATCCAGTCAACTTAGTCATCCTTTTCATGGAAGTAATTTTATGCTTTTGGTCATCCTCAGTGCCCTCACTGGACCTTTTGCCATCTTATTCTAAGATACCTAAAGTGCACTAGCTGAATCATAATCTGGAAAGACCTGGCCACAACCCAGCCATCTACTGGAAATGGTCCTGGGGCA